TGCTCTGATCTGTGTAGCGCCTGCGCGTGCCGCTCTGCACAGCGGCCACGGACCGTTGCGGTCCGCAGCGCTCCGGCCATGGCGATTGAATCATGGCGCGAGGCGCGCTGGCTCTATGGCAGCACGTTGAAGCAGAGCAGGTGGGGACGAGGACGCGCGGACCCGTGGACGCGCGTGAGGACGCGTCGCGCCTCTGCTGTGAATAGAGGGAGAGTGCTGCAGCGTTGGAACCGAAGCTCGCCTCGCAAAAGAAGAGTTCGCGGTATGGCTTGCCTTTCTTTCATGAAAATAGAAGAGAGAAGCATGCGCAACAACTCGCGCTTCAGGCCCACGCCTCGATCTTCTTGGGCAGCAGCTGGTTGGACACGTCCTCTCCGTGGCCTAGGCAGCCGCGGCGGCCCTCGCCCCACGTGAAGACAGCGCCGTCGGCGGTGATGGAGAGGCTATGGTACTCTCCAGCCGACACGGCAACGACGCGCTGGCCAACAAAGGCCTCGACCTTCTTTGGCAGCAGCTCGTACTGCTGGTCGCCGTGGCCCAGCTTGCCATCCTCTCCAAGCCCCCAGCTCCAGACAGCTCCGCCGGCGGTCAGGGCGAAGTTGTGAGACATTCCCGCCGACACAGCGACGACGCGCTGGGCAGCAAAGGCCTCGATCTTCTTCGGCAGCAGCTGGTCCTGCTCGTCGCCGTGGCCCAAACGGCCACAGGCTCCACGGCCCCAGCTCCAAACGGCTCCGTCGGCGGTGACGGCAAGGTTGTGGAGGCATCCAGCCGACACGGCGACGACACGCCGGCCAGTCAAGGCCTCGATCTTCTTGGGCAGCAGCTGGCGCTGCTGGTCGCCGTGGCCCAGCTTGCCACCGGTTCCACCGCCGCAGCTCCAGACGGCGCCGTCGGCGGTGATGGCGAAGCTGTAGTTCCTTCCAGCCGACACAGCGACGACGCGCTGGTCAGCCAAAGCCTCAACCTTCTTGGGCAGCAGCTGGGCCTGCTCGTCGCCGTGGCCCAGCTGGCCATCGTAGCCATAGCCCCAGCTCCAGACAGTGCCGTCAGCGGCGAGGGCGAGGCTGTGGTTACCTCCAGCCAAGACAGCGACGACGCGCTGCCCGATAAAGGCCTCGACCTTCTTCGGCAGCAGCTGGTGCTGCTCGTCGCCGTGGCCCAGTTGGCCATAGCCTCCACAGCCCCAGCTCCAGACACTGCCGTCGGCGGCGAGGGCGAGGCTGTGCAGACCTCCAGCCGACACGCTCACAGCACGCTCGCCGCCCAGCGGGGAAGGGAGGCGCGTCGGCGCGTTGAGCCGCGTCACGCCCTCGCCGTGCCCGAGCAGCCCTGGCATCCAGCTCTCAGCCGTCCCGCACGACGAGAGCCGCCCCTCGCCGTCGATGAAAACGCTGTGCCGTGCGCCCGCCGCCAACCTCGCCGGCGGGTTGGACTCGCGCAGCAAGGCATACACGCACAGCCACCGCACAGCGCAGCTCTCGCCCTCCGGCTGCGCCGGCGGCTCGAAGCCGCGCTCTTGCAGGCGCAAGCGGATGCCCTCCAGCGCAAGCGAGGCGTGGAAGAGCAGCGAGACGGCCGCGGCGCGAGCGATGTCGGCGGGGTCGCAGCGGGAGATGGCGCGCGCGAGGAGCTCCGTGGGGAGGTCGAGGAGGCTGGCGGGCGGCGGCGTGCCTGGCGAGGGGGCGGCTGTGGCAGCGTGGCGGCGCGAGCGGCGGCGCGGCGGGGTGGACATCGCGAGAAAAACAATTTTAGGGCTTTATTAAAAATCCTCGCACGACACTGAAGGTCGCAGCGAGAATCGGCAGGGACTGCGAAGAGAGATAGGAAGAGGCGGACGCCCAAGGGTGGGCGACGGCTAGCGCATCACACCCCTCTCCTTAAAATCCCTGTGTGGTGGCGGCGTGCCGTCCTCCCATCCCTCACTTGGGTTGTCCATTTTCTTTCTTTCTTTTTCGCACGACACTGGGCACGGGACTGGCGCGCACTGGCACTAACACAGTGTCGTGCGAGAAAAAGAATTTTACAAACTCCCTCGCACGACAAGAGAGACCATCTCGGCTACGGTTCCGACTCCGGCTCTGGCTGGTAGTCGACAAGCTGCCGAGCCCAAATCACTGTGTGTGACACATTTCTTGTTGGCTTCTAAAAATCTCTCTCTGTCTCACACAACCAGCCTCGTCCAGCAGCACACAAGTATGCGTCCTTGCGTGACACGCGCACTGTCAAGGCGCTGTCTGTGACAGTGGGCTGGCACCCTGCAGGGGAGGCGACCTGGACGGGAGCAAGCTAGGGCACGCGGAACCATCCCTTCGCGCCTGCGGAGAGAGGTCCTCATTGCGGAGAGAGGTCCTCACACCAGGTCCTCTCGCCTGCGGCGTGCGGCCCCCCGGAATTCATGCTTCACTTCACCAACAAATGCACCCTCCCGTCAGATCACGAATGTATTCCAGGAAGTTCATGGGGCACCAGAGAGCCACGCCACTCCACATCGGTGCCCGTGATAACACTGTCGCGGCCAGAGGTCCTCACCACGGGACCAGGCGAGAGGTCCTCACACGCACACGGGCCCAAGTTCTAAATTATTTTTCGTGGGGGGGGGTTGGGATGAGGGGGAGTGGGATGGGGATGGTCTTTTCGGCGAGCACCACGGTGCTCGCGGATTCGACTATCCCCTTGATTGGGGGTCCGACGACGGCTACGGTGAGGACGACTGGAGGACGACGGCTTCTGAGGAAGCCGTCGCCCGTGCCTTGCTTGTCGCGTGAATCGTGTTGTGCGACCGCGTTTTGTTGTAAAATTCGAGGGCGCGCCAGTCCCGTGCCCAGTGTTGTGCGAGGGAGCTTTGTTGTAAAATTCTTCTCTGCACTGTTGCCCTTGAGAAAAAGCTCGCATTATGCAAACCTGTGCCTGTGTCCTAGGAAGTAGACCGAGAGGGGTACTCCCATAGGCAAGAGGAGGTCTGGCCAAGAGGGTGCTAGATGAGAGTCAGCAGAGCGCGCCGTCCGTCTCGGCGGCTATTCGGTTTCCCTCCTTAGGCTGTATATACTTTTCCTCTCGCACCCCGTCTCTTTTCCTTTCCTTTTTTCTCTACAGCACACTCTCTTTTCCTCTCTATTTTCCCGGGGAAACCATCAAATTTTCCGGGCTGTGAGCCGAGTCTGAGGCTGGTTTGGGCCCACAAAATCAGCCAAATCGGCAAAATACCGGGTATTTTGCGGGTATACCTGGAAAAACCCGGGTATACCTGGAAAAAGCCCGGGGTGTTGACGGTTTCCTCGATTTTGCCTCAGATTTTGCCCCAGACCACAGCTCTCAGACTCAGGGAAACTCGCGAGTTTCCAGAATGGAGCACCAAACACCCTCTGTTTTCCCTGGAAATTTCCGGAAACGCAAAGTGCTGGGGCCCCTCTGTTTTCCTTTTTGTTTGCCGGAAAAGTATATACAGGCCAAAACCCTCCTTCCTGAGTCACCAGAAAATCCCAACGATCCTTGAGCGGAGGCCGCCTTGGGCACTTTTCCAGCCTCTCCGGAGAATCGGAGAGAATGGCTACCATAGCCTAGCATGGCACCCGCGGGCAAAGCTGCCCCCAGGTCCCTAGAGCCCATGGGCAGTCCCAAAGGATATGTCAGCGTGAGGTGAGGGCGCAACGGTGGGGGCTCTCACCAGCCCCTCAAAGTCGGGCCTCTCCGGAGGCGGTCAGAGGGGCGGGCAAGGGCACGTGGGAGAAGGGTCAGTGCGGCCCACAAGGTGTGAGCTACCCCCTCTCCTAGGTGTGACTCTACAGCCCCTGAGGCCCTCTGGGCTGGGCACCATCAGCTTGGGCAGAGGTCCTCGGGGTGGGGAGAGAGGGAGCTCCCCTTTTCAGGCTCCCCCAAGCCCAACCGCGCATTAACTCGCACCCCAGTGTATGATCGGTGAGAAACAGCAAAAAAGCTGGATTTATTTCTTTTTGGCCAACTCCCGGTAACACAACAAGGCCAGCCTCACCAACAACGACAAGACGCACCTTTCAACCGGTAGAAAATTTCACCAATTTTGTATACCGTAATCTCCACACAACATCTCTGGCCTCGTCCAGCAGCACACAGGTATGCGTCCTTGCGTGACACGCGCACTGTCAAGGCGCTGTCTGTGACAGTGGGCTGGCACCCTGCAGGGGAGGCGACCTCGCTGGACGGGAGCAAGCTAGGGCACGCGGAACCATCCCTTCGCGCCTGCGGAGAGAGGTCCTCATTGCGGAGAGGTCCTCACATCAGGTCCTCTCGCCTGCGGCGTGCGGCCCCCCGGAATGCATGCTTCACAGACTTCACCAACAAATGCACCCTCCAGTCAGAAAACAAATTGCTAAAAATCACTCTCTCCAGTCAGATCACGAATGTATTCCAGGAAGTTCATGGGGCACCAGAGAGCCACGCCACTCCACATCGGTGCCCGTGATAACACTGTCGCGGCCAGAGGTCCTCACCACGGGGCCAGGCGAGAGGTCCTCACACGCACACGGGCCCACAGGACAGGTCTTATTCACACCTCCCACGCACAAAGAGAGAAGCCGGCGGCGAGAGGCCGGAGAGTTTTTCTTCTTTTTCGCCGCACTCGCAGGAGTCGCTTAGGCGGCTCCCGTGGTGTACCTGTGTTAGTTAGTGCCAGTGCGCGCCAGTCCCGTGCCCAGAGAGTGTCATGCGAGACAGAGATGTTGTACATTCCTTTTTTTCTTTTCGTGTCGTGCGACCGCAAATTCTTTTTCGCTTGGCCGACTCCTGGGTTCCAACTTTTTCCGGGGTATGTATGGTCTGGTAGGGTCGCGGCCCAAAGGGGTAGGGGGTATGGTCCTGCCCACCCAAGACTAGCCCTACCATACCCCCAAGCAGGTCTGCCAGCAGGCGGGGGGGGTGAGTGAGTACACTCCCACACACACACACACGCGGGGGGGGTATGGTCTTGAGTGACCCATCCCATACCCCGGAAAAAGTTGGAACCCTGCCGGCCAGCCGCCGCGATGGAAGAGGGCCCTTCGCTCGAGCTGTGCATCGCGGTGTGGGCGGAGGTTGGCCTGTCGGCTGAGCGGCACGCGACCCTCGACAACCAGGCCATCTCCATCTCCGACAACCGGCAAGACTCGGCCGTCGGCCGCGAGGCGCTCAAGGACGTCATCAAGGACTTTCGCGACACCCCGGCCGAGGAGCGGCCGCGCCGGATCGGCGTGCTGATCAAGGCCTTCCAGGCAGAGGTGGACGCACTCACGCGGCGGCAGGCCTTCGCCGAGGACGCCTTTCTCAACCTCTACCGCCCGCTCGCCGACGCGCCCGACCCGCATGCCTCTCTGCTGGCCGCGGCGGCGGAGATCGGACGGCTGCGTCCCGAGGCTGCTGCTGCTGCGGCGGCGGCCGATGGGCTCCGTCGCGAGCTGGCGCACATCGACGCGACGGGAGGAGGTGACGGCGAGAATGAGTGAACGAGCCGACGTGGAAAAGTGAGTTCAGGCGCATCGCGACGCGGAGCTCGCGGGTCTCAAGAGCCAGGAGCGGACAATCCAGCGGCAGAATGAATGACTGGAGTGATTAATCGATTAAGTGAACGACGGATTGGTCAACAGGAGCAGACGATCAAGCGGTTGCAGGCGCAGCTCAGGGAGCAAGAGGAGTCTGCAGCGGCGCGAGGCGGCGAGGCGGCGGCTGCGGCGCTGCGCAGCGCGGAAGAGGGGTGGGAGCGGGAGCGGGCGGCGCTGCTGGCGGCGGCGGAGGAGGCAGAGGCGGAGGGGGCAGCGCGGATCGGAAGGGCGCAGGAGGAGGCGGCGGCGGCGGCGAGGCGGGTGGCGGAAGAGGCGGCGCTGGAGGCGCGCGGTGGCATCGAGCAGGCGAGGGCGGCGGCGGAGGCGGAGGCGGAGGCGCGCTTGCGAAGCACGGAGTCGGGCTTTCATTCACACCTGGGGGTGTGGACGGCGTCTCTTCACACCCGCGGCTGTGGACGGCGTCTCTTCACACCCGCGGCTGTGGACGGCGTCTCTTCACACCCGGGGCTGTGGACGGCGTCTCTCCACGCGCCCGTCGCTGTGAGCAGGCGCTCCGTGAAGAGCTCGACAGGACTGCGGGGCAGCTGCGGAGGATGCAGGCGACGGGCGGCGGCGGTGGCGGCGGCGATTCTGGCGGCGGCGGCGGCGGCGGCGGCGGCGGCGGCGGCGGCGGCGGCGGCGGCGGCGGCGGCGGGGGCGGGGGCGGGGGCGCGGCGGTGGCGGCGGCGGAGGCGCGCGCACGAGCGGCGGAGGGGCGGGAGGAGGAGGCGAGGAGGGCGGCGGAGGAGGGGCAGGCGGGGCTAGCCGCTGCGGCCGCTGGTCTCGAGAGACAACTTAGCGGTGGGGTCTACAACGGAGCGGAGGCTGCTGAGCCTAGGCGAGTGTAGCAAACAGCACAAGGCGCTCCGCCAGCCAGCCGGCTCGCTCGGCAGGGGTGCGGGAGGGCGCCAGTAGGCGAAGCTGCGAACGGCGGAGCTGCAGCTCCGGCGGGGCGCCACCGCCGCCGCTGCACACGGCGCCTAATCTCTCCCCATCTCTCCCCATGTCCCCCCGCTGCGCACGGCGCCGCTGCCGCGGTGCCGGAGAGGGGTAGCGTTTACCCCACCGGAGTCGAACTCATTGCTTGGCCGCAGGCGCCGCCACCGCGGTGCTCGAGTCTCGGAGCGCGGCCTAGAAGCGGAAGATCTCCCCATATCTCCCCCCGTATCTCCCCGTATCTGGCAGCACGCAGCCTAGAAGGGGAATGCGTGTTCTTGTATACCAAGTGGCGCTCGAGAGGACGCGCACTCAACTGTGCTCGGCCGCCTTCCGCCGTATTCAGCTGCACTCGTAGCCCCTCGTATCCAGACGGTGCTTCGGATACTGTCACAGTGCCGCATCCCCCCCCATCTCTCCCTATCTCCCCCTATCACCCACTACTCCCCCTATCTCCCCCTATCTCCCCCTATCTCCCACTACTCCCCCTATCTCCCCCTATCTCCCCCTATCTCCCCCTATCTTCCCCTAAGCGGTGCTGTGCCTCTACTACGCGACACCGTCCTCCCGCCCCGAGGCTGGCGCATGCTTCACGTG